CCCTCCTACCAATACTATCACATTTAACACATCAAGCTAACATATAACATAATAGGCAATAGCAATCCATACAATTGTCTCACTAGACAACTACTAGTGGGTCGGCCTTGGTGCCTTAGACCCACTTCTACTGGAAGGTAACTCACCTGGATGTCGCGTAGTGTCTGAATTGTCCTCGGTGTGAAAATCGACTCTCCTCGACTCCTCGATTCCTACACGACAACTCTTCTAAGTTACCAATCCATACTAGTAACCCTAACCATGGTCAACTCAAATCCAGTCAAAGTCAACTTTTGTCAAATTCAACATCCAGTTGACTTGACTTGCCGAGTTGGTCTACCAACTCGTCGAGTCCATACTCCTCTAACCCAATATAATCCCCGACTCTACTTGTAAAGTCTAGCAAGAACTCAACGGGTTCTTCTTCAATCATACCATCGGGACCATCTTCATTCGACTCGTTGAGTTCATCCTTGAACTCGTCGAGATCATCTCCCCCATATGAATGTGTACAGTCTATGACTCGTCGAGTTGTATGAACAACTCGTCGATTTTATCTTCATGGATTGGGAGATTGCCTTGGACTCGCCGAGTCCCAAGAACAACTCATCGAGTCCCATGATTTCCAGGTCCATAGTCTCTTCCATCTTTGTTGAGGCCTCCTCTAGACTCAACCAGGTCCCTTAAAACAGCAAAGGTTCGGGGAACCACTACCCGACTCGCCGAGTCTACTAAATCTCATGTCCATAAACTCGATTTATGTTAAGCTCAGCTCATCCAAAGGGTAGATCTGACCTCCTAGGGTCAATATAGCACATAAAGCCATGAACTTTACATCTATTCATGGGTCTTTAAGCTCTAAAGCACCACGAATGATGTCTACAAGATGCATGGGGATCTCATGGCCATAAATTTGTCACCCTTATGCCATGAGACCCCTCTAAGGTCCAAGATCTAAAGCCATAACTCCATTATAACCCGAAAATGGTTTAGAATGCCCCAAATATACCAAAATCCAAGCCCTAAAGATGATTAAACACATGAAAGGCCAAGATAGAAGCCTTTTACCTTAAATGAGCTGGAAATGGAACACAATCTTTGGATCTTCTAGCTCCAACTTGAACTCCCAAGCTCCTTTCCTCTTCTCAAGCTTTACAATCCACCAAAATGCACATAAATGGCCTTATAACACTCAAACAAGGCTAGGGTTTCAGGCTAATGTCTTCTGTAAGTATAAGTGATGATGGAGGCTGAGATAGGGAGAGATAAGTTGTTTAAATAGGGTGCAAACCCTCAAATTTAGGGTTTCACTCAAACAACATCTACTCGTTGAGTCGGTCTCCCGACTCGTCGAGTATATTACTTAAACTTCCTACGGATCACGAATCTACTCGACAAGTTGGGCCCTCAACTCATCAAGTCCCAGAGAAAATATAAGAGTTACTTGAACTACATGCATACCAGGAATCAGGTGTTACACAGGCGCGTAACAAAAACAAATAGTAGGGACCTTATGAGTTAAAAAAATAAGTTAGGGACCAAGCGCACAAATTACCCCAAACCATAGGGACCATTCGTGTAATTTAATCTATCCACAGATAACGACGATATCTATAAATTTCATTAAGACTATGTTGGCTAATTTTGACTTTATTTTTAAAGTAATATTTTATACATGCGTAGATTGTTAAAGCCCGTATAAAAATCATAACTCTTTCATGAATTCCGTTCTCGACTGTCTTTATATTGGCAGTATCATATGAACAATATCTTCAATTCTCGTTTAGATTGTTTTTCCTAATAATCTACTGATCTCTATTTTGGTTTCCGTGTCGTACATTGTTGCACTGAAACTTCTAAAAATCATAACTTCCTCTTACGAAGTCAAAATTCAAACGTTATATATACACATGCCCTCGGTTTTTCAATTACTACGACTTTCTTCAAGACTATTTATCCTATAAGTCTTCTATCAAAGATGTATATTTACCTGACTGGTCGTTTATACTATAAAGCAAAAATGGGGTGTTACACATCCTTTACTCTTCTATCTTTTTGGTCCAGCCCACATATGAGTCTACTGAGCCTAATTTTTGTCTTCTAATCACTTTCAAAGTAGCCCACTTCTTCCTTTGATCTTCCATAGCCCATTTGTCATCACATCATCTTCCAACTTTATTCAAGATTAAGCCCAATTGAATTTCATCTTCTTTTTGGCAGCAAGCCCAAGCGCACCATTTTCAATTCCACAAGCATACTACAATCCTCATGTATCAAGATCCCGCACTCCCGCAATTGCTCCACCTTGAGTAGTCTTCGATAAATTTGCAGTTAAGCTCAAAAGACTAGAAAGTACTCAATAAAAATATAAAATAACAAAAAAGAGAAAATATGCATGAAGGTTAACTAAAATGGGATGAAATATGCGAAAATAAACTAGAAAAATAAGTAAATAAAATGAAACTATCAATGTTCAATAATTTGACCATTCAGTGTTATTAATTCGCTTTTAGAGATCTTTTTAGACACTTCTAGGAAGATTAAGTCTAACGTAATCGAAACTAAATGCAGCTAATACGGATAAAGTAACGTCCGCGTTTCTCGCTATAAAAAATTAAAAAATCAGTATTTATGTCGGTCGACGATTGTAATATTTTATGAATAAATGAAGGAATTATGTACATATATGTGTTCAAATTGGATAAGTATTATATGTATATAATAATTTTGTAAAAACTTATTTAAAAAACTTAATAAATAAGGTTAAAAATAAACGTTAAAAATAAAAGATTATTTAGAATGAACAATCTAAACAAAAATAGTAGTAATCGTGATTACGAACACATGCATATAAAGAACACCCAAATCTAATTTTGTATAAGGAAGTTATGATTTTTTGAAGTTTCAATGTGACACAGTACAGTAGTGTGTGACACAGAAATCAAAATGAAAATTGGTTGATTGTTATCCAAAAAAAAACTAAACGAGATTGAAGTACTCGTAAATACAAATTTTTTGATATAAAGACAGCCGAGAACGAAGTTCATATGAAGGAGTTATGATTTTTGCATAGATTTTAATAGTGTAATCTCTATAAAAATATGAAATTAAAATAGAATGAGAATTGTTTGTGTGAATCGAATGGAAAGTTTTAGTACTCTTCGATACCTACATGTGGATATAAAATAACTTCGAAAACGGTACTCGTATGCAAAAGTTATGATTACAAGATTGGAAATTTACCTACGAAAATCTAGGACATGACAGCATCGGAGGGTGCCACATGACCTTTTCGGACGTATTATTCAAATTTTGTGTTCTTGAGTGTGTGTGTGTGTGTGTATGTTGAAGAACAAACCCAGAAATCTGGATTTTATGTGTGTATGTGTGTTGTTCTTGAATCTAGCTGATGATTTGTTTTTCTATAATAAGTGTAGATGTTTTTATCTTAAGATGAGTTCATTTTTGTTGCAAGATGGTAGTACCAGTATGAAGCATTTAAAGATTGAAGCATTCAAAGATTGAAGAAGATACTTCCTCTTCGTCAGAGAGAGAGAGAGAGGTGGGCCCCTTTTTTTTAAATTATTAAAATAACTATTAGATTTAAAAAATTGAAAGAAAAATGAAAAATAAATACCCAAGGGTATTACAATCATTTCACTATTCAGAGGGACTAAAAACGCAACAAAACTAGCTTAAAAGGACCATGAAACCAAAAAAGTCGAGGTTTAAACTAAAACCCCAAAAAAATACATACCACAGTAACCATTTTGCAGTTTTGTCTATATGTATTATTTTAGAAAAGACAAAACTGTAAAAATGGTCCCTGTGGTATGCATTTTTTGGTGGTTTTAGTCCAAATCATGACTTTTTTGGCTCCGTGATCCTTTTGGACTAGTTTTATGTGAAAATGGTCCCTCCGAAAATTAAAATGACTAAATTTGCCTTTTGATATGTTTTTTATGTTTTTTTTCTATTTAACTTAATGTTTTATTAATAATAAAATGGGACCCACACCTCTCTCTCTCTCTCTCTCTCTCTCTCTCGTTAAAGTCTGGTAAGACATCCAAGAAATGTATTTTTAGGATAATGGGAACACACACATATACACACTGATGAACACATAAATACACAATCCAAAATCCAGCTGCAAGTGTATGTGTGTGCGTGTGAGTTCTTCTCATTTATCCATGTAGAAGATCCTGAAATCGACAATTGACAGCCCTCACAAAACTCATAACAGTGAACAGTGATGGCGGTGTAAGGGGTGGTGTTGAGATGGTGGTAGTAGTGGTTAATAGGTGGTCGACGGAGCTATATGGTGGCAATGGTGTTACACTTCTAGGGCAGCGGAGAAACAGGTAAGAGGGTGGTGTCCTTCCATTCGAGTCAAAATTTTGAAAAAATTTACAGGTGGGTCTCAAATCAGATTTCCAAAAATCAAACACCAGTGTTCTTTCTTAAAATTGCAGAACGAATCTAAAGGCTTTTACTTTTAACGTAGAAATCGAATGAGGATTTATCTATTGTATTTTTCCATAGCTTAAAATTTTGGAGAGGTTGAACTTCAAAGAAAAATTAAATTGTAGAACAGATCTGAAATCTGAAACTCTAATTTTTGTCCCATCGTATCTTTTTCCCCAGTTCAATTCTTGTGATCTCTGTAAACCGTTGTTGCTTTTGAAGCTTTTAGCATAATCTCTTTTATGTATCTTTGTCATTGGTAATATGATTTTACATCAGTCGGGGAAGATTTGAAGGTGTTCAGATTGTTGCATTGCTTTAACTTTTAGCAAATAATATCCCAAACAACCACCATCGTTGGTCTTGGGGCATTTTTACACTAAGTATTAGGCATTGAAGATTTGAAGTTAGTGACTTCAAGGGTTAGGGAAACGCTCTGGTATTTGGGCCTCATCGAGCATTTTCTGTGTAAGGTAATCGATTCTTGAATTTAGTAATTGCTCCAACCCACCACCAGCTCATCGTGTATACAACAAATGGATGATATGCCCACAATGTATATTGATAGCAGAGAACAACTCCTCACAACGACTCTTATTTACATGATGAATGGGGATATCTTCAGAAAGGGAAGTGACACCAGGAGAAGACGGGAAATGGCACCATGGGAAGAAGATGAGGTAGAGGTGTGTGAGAGAGAGAGAGAAGGAGGGAGAGAGAAAGATAGAAAGAGAGAGAGAGAGAGAGAGAGAGAGAGAGAGAGAGAGATGTGGATCCAATTTTATATTTAACAATAATACAAATTTTAAAAACTGAAAGAAAAATGTAAAAATAAATTCATTAAGGCTATAATAGTCATTTTAGTTTGACAAAATTGCAAAAATGGTCCCTGTGGTATGCATTTTTTTGGGATTTTGGTCCAAACCACGAGTTTTTTGGTTTCGTGGTCCTTTTGGATTGGTTTGTTTGTGAGAATGGTCCCTATACTTAACACCCGTTAAAAAGAATCCGTTAACCCCCTCATGTGCCTTGCACGTGAGGGTATTTCTGTCTTTTTACTTATTGGGACCATTTTTGCATATGGAAAAATAAAACATCCTTTATATATCGTTTTCTTTCCCATCTTCTTCCCCAACAAATCTTCTTCCCCAACGTTCTTAACTGTTCTTCCCCAACGGCTATTTTCTTCCATTTCTCCTTCCTGACTTACAATTGAACAATGGTGGTTTGTTTTTGTGGAAAGCTTGCTTTGGTGAAAACGTCTTGGACACCACTGAATCCCGGAAGGAGGTTTTATGATTTCCCTACTAAGGATTTTGTTTGTGGGTTTATCAGGTGGGTTGACCCGCCTATGTGTGCTAGGAGTAAAACCATCATACCTGGTCTTCTAAGAAACATAAATACGTTAGAGGAAAGATGTAATAGGCTGGTAAGAAGTATCAACATGTTACAAGAACAGTGCAAAGGACTTTTGAGCGGGAACAACATGTTGGAGGCAAGGTGTGATGCATTGAAGGATGAAGGTTTCAAGTTGAAGATGTATTTATATGCAAGCTGGTTTATGTTTGTGATTGTTATCTTTAGTATTTGGTCTATGTAATGGATAGGGTTAGACAAATGTGGGGATTTTTGTTGATCAAGTGATGCAGGGTAAAAATGGTATAATTTTGTTGTAATTTGACTTCATCATGTTTGTAATGAATTCCAATGTTGTTAATGATATAAATGATATTCAAGTGTGAAAATGTGTTCAAAATGTGCATCAATTGTCAAATATAAGCACATAAATAGAACCAAAATGTAACAAAAGTACATTACCAAAATACATGTCATAAATTGACCAAAATGCACATTCCATTAACCACATGAGTGGAACCAAAAACCATTACCAAGTTAAGCATACAAGTGTTTGTGCACCATACATAACCACATCATCAAACCATAACTAAAGTTTTCAAAAACAAACAATTTTTAACAACAAGCAACTAAATACTCATTGCACCACAACAAACAACCAAAATCACTTCTTAGATTGATCCCCACCTTGCCCTTTACAGGTCCTGGAGTTGTGTCCCTTATTCTTGCATTTGCTACAAGTAACACTGATATGTTTCCTTGATAGCTTCTGCACTCCATCATTTGTTGGCCCTTAGGAATGTTCTCCTTGCATCTCATTGACTCCATCACCTTGACTTGCCTTCTGCTTTTTGCTTAACCTTTCACCCTCACTTTGTCTTCTTTTTTTCTTAGGCCTTCACACCTGAGTGCGATGTGGAGGAAGGATTAGCTTTGTTGGACAATTACTTTTAGGCCACATGGGTCTCCCTTTAATTGGTTCCACCTTAAATGAATAAGCTTTTTGCCATGTCTCTAGCCAATACACCTTGTGTACCCACTTGTAAATGTCAAGCTCAGCCTCAGGGCCTTTGCTCATTTCATTCAGAGTTGCAATTGCATGCTTGCAAGGTATTCCTATCAATTCCCACTTTCTGCAAGTGCATGTTTGGTTCCTAACATCCACCACATGCTGATCTTGCAATGCTCCAGTGACTTGATACTTGTTTGCCCCATTCCACCTAGCAATATATTGTGAAGCACCTTTTTTCCTTGCATCTAGGATGTCTGTTGCTGTAGGTGTTAGTGGACCTTTAGCCTTCTTCATTCCCTTCATGACATTGCATATCCTCTTCATTAGATACTCCCTAATGAACTCTAAACATGAAATTAAAGGTTTGTCCCTACCTTTCTCTATCTTCCCATTAAACACTTCACACATGTTTGAAATCAACACATCAGAAACAGCTCTTCTTGCACATTACAATAACATACAATTAATGCTGATAAATAACTGAAACACATAATCATTACGATATGCAAACATATACAATTACCTAAGAAATGACTCCTTGCCCAATGTACATGAGGAATCTGCTTCAACCATTAACATGCCTCCTTATCATACTCACTAAACTCTTTCATCAAATGTTCAAACTCAGGAATGGTGCTTGCTGATGCACACCTCCATAAATGGTCCCTGTAATCAGTTTGCCCCCACTTCTTTCTCATATTGTCATGAATATGTCTAATACAACACCTATGCTGAGCATTGGGAAACAATTGATCAACTACAATTTGTAATCCCTACATTACTCAACAGAAAATAATTAGAATTAATTTCTTGGTAAAAAAACACAATCTAAATGATCAATTGATGAACTGTAATTTACCTTTTTCATGTCACTTATGAAAGTATAGTTTGAGTTGCTCCCAACTCCAAGTCATCCCCAAGGTTCTCTAAAAACCACTTCCAGCTAGCTGTGTTTTCAGACTCAGCAATTGCATAGGCCAAGGGATAAATTCCATTGTTGGAATCTAGACCAACTATTGTAAGAACCTGACCAGGAAATGGGCCTTTCATGAAGGCACCATCCAAACCTACTAAGTCTCTAATACATGCTTTTAAACCTTTTTTCAGTGGACCCAAGCATACATAAATCCTTCTAAACTGCCTTGTTGGGGATGCAGGGTTGCCATTAGGACACACATCTATTTTAACTGTTGTGTCTGGGTTTGTAGCTTGAAGTTCAAGAGCATAGTCCCTCAACAATTCAAATTGTTTTGTGTAGTCCCCAGTTACATGCTTTCTTGCCATATCTTTTGCCCTAAACACCTTATCCATTGAAATACCCACCTGGTAGGTCTTTTGAAAGTGATCTTGTACGGCTCTCAAAGGAATCTTCGGATCTGCCTCAACTTGATCTATGATTTTCTTGGAGATTAAAGAAGCATTACAAGCTCTGAGTTTTCTTGTTTGTAAGCATGTATGAGTTTGGTTTAAGGTCCTTATAAACTATTCGTATTCGGGGTTTGACCTAGATGCATGTATATACCAACCACATGTTTCTTTTTGTGTCTTTACTTCTTTGCCCTTGCTTTTTGAAGTGGTAGGTTGAGTCCCCACTTGACCTTTATTGATGACAGGTACAACTCCTGTAGCACCTGGTTCTTGGTACGTATTCTTTTATTTAATTCTTTGTGCATTTTGCATCTAGGCCTTGGACTCGGCGAGTCAAAGGATCGACTCGCCGAGTAGAAGCGGAAAGGGGCACGGGGTTTAAGTTGTGGACTCGCTGAGTCGGGTCCTGGACTCGCCGAGTAAGCTGCTGTTTGGACAAAACCCTAATCCAGGAGTGTGCACCCTATTTAAACACTCTAACTCAGCCTCCCTTGCCCCTAACACTTTCAGAAGAGCTGTAGAACAAAACCCTAGCCCTCATATTGTTCTTGTGAGTGATTTTGTCTTTATGAAGGAAGTTTGGAGCCTAGAAGAAGAAGGAGAATGTTGAAGGGTGCAAGTAGGGGAAGTAGATCCGAAATCTACTCTGTGAAAGGCTTCCATTCAGGTAGAAAATTTCCTAACTTGATCTCTAGTTCATTAGATCCCCTTTTGTCCCTAATTTTTGGGTTTTAAGCCCTAAAACCTAAAACTCTATGTGTTTATGCTCTATGCTCTGAAAGGGCTTCAGATCTAGACCTTAGGGACATCTTGGAAGTATAAAGTTTCTGTGGTTGAAGTGATTGAGGTCCCTATTAAGTGTTTGACCTCATAAAGAGCTTGGAATTGCCTTTTGGAGATCATAGGACCATGCATGCATGTAAAGTTTGCAACTTTATGTGAGAAGCATGCCCTAGGAGCTTAGATCTATGGTTTGGAACCGTTGCATGTCTCAGATTTGGTCTGTATGGGAGGAGAGTTGAATGGACTCGGTGAGTGCCAAAGTGCACTCGACGAGTTCTATGAAGATGGTCTTAGACTCGACGAGTTGGATGAACCACTCGGCGAGTCCTATGAAGATTGCCTGGAACTCGACGAGTTGCTCTTAAAACTTGGCGAGTTATATGAACATTTATTGAGTTAAGAGGGGTTTAAGTGTATAAGGTCCAACCCTTCGTCCCTACTCGTGAAATTAGCAATTTATCGAGTAGCGATAGCCCCAGAAACCCAAATCCTCAAGATGGATGCTCTGGTGAGCATTTGGAAGTGAATAGGAGATCTGTTCGTGGGACTCATCGAGTTGTTCTTCAAACTCAGCGAGTCGGATGAGTTTCCTTGTGGCTTTCGAATGGGAGAAGAACTCGTCGAGTTGTAGGCCCAACTCGACGAGTAGAGTCGCGGATGGGGGCGAGTAGAGAGTGAAGGACTCGACGAGTTGATGGCCCAACTCGGCAAGTCGGGTCAAATGGAAGTTGACTTTGACTTTGACTTGACTTGGCTGAGGGTAATATGGTCATTTTACCCTAAGTATAGAGATCCGTTTCTAACTGAGTGTTTGTGGGGTTTGTAGCTGGAGGATTTCCGGAGCAGCAGTGGACGGAGGTTTCCTGCACTGATTATCAGCAGCTACTTGTATGAGGTGAGTTACCTTCCAGTAGGGGTGGGTCTAAGGCCACAATGTCGGCCCACCAATGAGGAGTACTTAGAAGATAATTGTCTTTGTGATAATTTATCTTGGTCTGGTATGCGTTTGGTTATGAGTTATATATGTATGATATGTTACATGATAGGGATAGTTTCCCTGATAGTGGTGCTTAGGACCAAGGGGTAGGTCAGTACCCGGATGTACCTGACTGTGTGCTTATATCTTGCTATTGTATGCTAGTGGTAGGGGGTGGAATAGTCCCCAGTTACCGGTTGCAAGATACCGATGACGGTTACCGGTTGAAAGATACCGATGACGATTACCGGTTGAAAGATACCGATGGTATTGTATGGTATGTAATATGATGGGGGGAACTCACTAAGCTTTGTGCTTACGGTTTCAGTTTTTGGTTTCAGGTACCTCTTCATCTAAGGGAAAGGAGCCGGCGGCGTAGCATGGCATCACACACACACATTTGATTTTCTGCATGGTGTTTTCTAGGATTGTACTCTGATATGTTATTTGTTTATGTTGTAGGTTGAAACATGATGCTTGACTTTATGAGATGATGTGTTGATTCAATACTTTCTAGTGAATGTTTATGAACAATTTAATTAAAAATGAAATTTTTGGACCTGGATTTTGGGTCGTTACAACTCCTCTGCACTGTGCTCTAAGCCTTTGATTGTCATTTTTTTAAAAGAATAGATTCCTTCTTGTTTCTAGTGCATGCACATCAATTAACTCTTTTAATTCTTTTTTACTTTTAAACTTTTTCCCCACTGAGAATGATTGTATATGTACTGACCCAAGGCTGCACCTTTTTTCTTTTCCCAATTTTTTTATAAAAGCTCTTCTTTCTTTGTCTTGGTCTGATCCTTCATCCAATGATTCAAACTCCTTATTGTTGATCACTTCCATATCTTCAGGTTCATGACCATCATTAATACATGCTCCTTCAACATCACTTTCAACATTTAGAAAGAAGTCTGCCATGTCCACATCAACATCTTCTATATGGTTCTCCTCATCCATTATATCATCCACTTTATCTTCATTTTCTGATTGTTTCCCATCATGATCATCACCTTCATCCTTTTCATAATCTTCATCACTCTCTTCAGATTCATCATCCCCTTCATACTCTTCAACATCCTCATCACTTCCAATTAAATTTTCCATAAGGTTATCAAAAAGCTCATTATATTGTTCATCATCATTAATAGGTGGGGTGTTGTAGCATCCATCAATATGGTCATTATCATGAACCCCAATCATCTCATCCCCTACATTAGTAATATTTAAAGTAAATGGATTGTAGCATCCTTCAACAACAATTGCAGCCTCATGAACCTCCTTAACACCCTCATTAGTGTTTTCCTTCTCTTTTAAATCATCAATATCCTCTAAATTAAGCCTCTTTCTACAAGAACCTTCCTCTCTTTTTGAATTCCCAACTCTACCCCTTTTATACTCTGGAGAGAATGCATCACTTTTACTCCCAAAAAGAATCAAAGACATGTACTCACCAATTGGCTCATCATTGACATGGTTCATATTTCTCAATGGAGATTCTACATGAACTTCATCCTCATATTCAGCCCCTTGATCATCATTCTCTGGTAATTCCTCAATGATAACTTTACCCTTTGCATTTGGAGACATAAAGTATGTGAGTAGATTTGTCTTCCCATGTTCTGTGTACACCTCAATCAACTTGTTATTTTGAATAAATTTAAAAGATTGATAACATCCTGATCATTCCCTAAAGCTTTAAGACCAAATTGAAAGTCACCATTGGGTATCCTGAAATGGTAGTATATCATTGGGGATTCATCAATCAATCCAATCATCTGTGGTTCTGGGTAACCTAGGTCAAGCATTATGGCATTAAGTTTATGTATAGAAAACTCATCTATGTCCACATAATCAACATAACGCACTTCACCTCTAATATACTTTATGTCAGGTAACTTAGTAAACTTCCCACCATGATAAAGCTTAATACTAAACCATGTGGGTGCACTTGCTACAAGTAAAAATTATACATGATAACAAAGTCAAAATTTGGCGGATTTTAGTATAAATCAAGGGTAAAATGAAAAATATGAATGTTTAAGAAAACAGAGCAACTTACCATATAAGGATGATACGTCGACAACTTCATTTTTTGGTCTGATCTTCCACATTACGTACACCATTTCAACTTTAACGAATGACCTTGTCTCCTTTTGCTTCGATTAGGTTCTTTGGATAACGAAGGATGTTTTTTTTTGCAGGTTTAATGGAGCAAAAGGAAGAAGGAGGTAGGTGGGGAGTTGACGGGTGTTTGGGATTGTAAATGACGGATAAAAGGTAGAAGGAAGCATTGACATTCGTATGCAAAAATGGTCCCTGTAAGTAAAAAGACAGAAATACCCTCACATGCAAGGCACATGAGGGGGTTAACGGATTCTTTTTAACAGGTGTTAAGTATAGGGACCATTCTCACAAACAAACCAGTCCAAAAGGACCACAAAACCAAAAAAATCGAGGTTTGGACCAAAACCCCAAAAAAATGCATAACACGGGGACCATTTTTGCAATTTTGTCTTTTAGTTTGGACAGTGACCAAAACTACAAGTAAACTAGCCCAAAAGGACCACGAAGCCAAAAAATTCATCGTTTGGACTACAATTCAAAAAAATGCATACCACAATGACCATTTTTGTAATTTTGTCTTTAGAAAATAAAATTTTACTGAATCTTTATATCTCTTAATGAACCTCATTAAAGTTGCCAAAAAAATAAAATTGGGTCAACTACGGACTTCATTGAAAGTGATAATACGTCCATATTTAGTGTGGACGGAGTCCGCCACCCCCAACCCACTCAATACACTATCACATCAGTTTCATATAAGCTCTTCTCTCTCATTTCTCTTACATCTTTCTTAGTCTACAACACATGGAAACCTTATATTTCTTATCTCACTCAACCCGCTTAATTTTTAATTTTAAAGTATACACAAACTAATCAGAATCATACAAAACTAATTTACAAAATATTAAAAACATACAAACCCATTTTGATACAGAGCTTAAGAAAGAAGTACAACTAATGCATACATGAGGGAGTAAATGTGTGAATGGCTTATGTAAACCACAACATAATTTTTCTCACCCCACCAGCCGTGACCCGCTAACAGGGGAATGGTAACTTGGAGGTACCATAACAAAACCATGAAAAGAAAGATTATTCTAAAGCATGAACTAGAGGAAAGAAAGATTAGGAACAACAAGCAATTTAAATCCATAACAAAACCATGAAAAAACATCGCCACTAGAAAGAAATAGTACCAAATCTTTCTATCTCTAAATGAACCTCATTAAAATTACCAACTATGAAATTCATTGAATATGGTAATCAATCCACAATTATAAGGACAAACAAATGACTCTTGTCACTACCAAGATTGATCCAACTCAATATGTTGGATAAATGATTATTCTAACGAATGAACTTAAGGAAAGAAAGATTAGGGGCATCAAGCAATCTAAATTCATTACAAAATCATGAAAACAAAGGCACTATTTTAGAGAAAAAAAAAATAGTACCAAATAATTCTATATCTTCACAAACCTCATTAAAATCGTCAAAAATTAAAATTTTGACCAACTATAAATTTCATTTAAAATGGTAAACAGTCCATATTTATATGGACAAACAAATGATTATTGTCACAGTGAAGATCTATGTAAGTATGATGAATAAATGATTATTCCAACGAATGAACTTAAGGAAAGAAAGATTAAGAACATCATGCAATCTAAATCGATAACAAAACCATGAAATACATCAGCACTATTTTAAAGAAAAAAGTAGAATCAAATCTTTTTATCTCTTTTTGAACCTTATTAAAGTCCCAAATTAAGATTAAAATCGGGCCAACTATGGACTTCATTGAAAGTGGTCATCGGTCAATAATTATTATAGGGATAATGACTTAAAAGGTAATATATTTTTTTAAGGATATTTCGTCTAAACACTCCTAACACACACCAATATAGTTTTTAAAATAATTAAATCGGAAATTGTGTAAAAACCTCTACCACGCCTACTTCTATTTATTTACTTTTTCTTTTTTTATGATTTGTTTGATTTCTTAGAATAGACATATCATTGTTGTTTTTCTTTTATATATATATATATATATATATATATATATATATATATATATATATATATATATATATATATATATAAAAGATAAATTAGATATTTATGTTATCTTTTAAAAATATTTTAATTTAATATATTATAATATACTTTATAATATATTTTGTAATTATACATATACATATTTTTTTGAATCAATATATATACATACTATTTTGACGTAATTTTTTTTATCAACCGGCATAGAAAAAGACTGTGATTTATACTTCTTTTATAGATAGTAACCTATTTTTTTTATATAATTAATGATATTAGGTTTACGAAAATGAAATAAAAAATCTAAAAAAACGAGTGTGGCTTACGTCTAACAAAAAATAAAATTAGTCAAAAAAATTATGCCGTAAAAAAGATGTGTTTGCGGAAATAGAAAAAAACAAAATGTATTAAATTTGTGGGTTTACGGAAAGGACATAAAAATATGATGAGGGTTTATTTGGAAATTTATTTTTTTTAATATTTTATTATATTATTATATTATAAAAAAAACATTTTTTATGTTAATAAAAATTGGTGACTAACTTGTTTTTAATCTCACTTTCCTCCAAACTTCCAGATAATCAATTTATTTATATATTTATTTATTGTTAGTATTTTTCTAATGATTAAAAATCATATTATTTTTAATATAAACTCAATAGAACTATTTATGTTTACTAAAAATGTATAAAACGTTCGTATGCAATTACGATTTGTGTCTATCAAAATTAAAGACATAAATAAAAAATATAAATTTTATCAAGCAAAATGTTATCCGAAAAAGTATGGATTATGAATGGTTTTTAAAAAAAATTATGCCACATCTTCGTAAGGTTTTTTTTTCTTTTAAAAAATCACAACTAATTTTTTAATAGATTTATTTGGAATTTTAAAATTTTATAATATTATTTATTATATTATAAAAACAATTTATTGTTGTTTCTTTATTTTAATAAAAAACAAATTTAAAGTTATTAATATTAAAAGATTACTAATAAAAATGTAATTATTATATAATAAAAGTTTTATTGATAATGATATAAGAAAGTAATGATAAAAAAAAAAAATTAGTCAAAATAATAATTATATGCTAACGATATGGTAATAATAACCTAAAAGATAAACCTAAAGGTGTAGGATGATTGTGTAGATTGGTGTGTACAGAGTAAGACTCATAATTATATATATTTGGTCCATAAGTTTTTCTTTTTATCCACATTTAACCATTTAACTTGGTTTTTTTTTCCACATTCAGTCATTATAATCGGGTATGTTATGGGGATAGATGAAACTTTTTGCTAAGAGTGTTCTCTTGTCTTGGAAGTACAAATTCTTTTAGCGTTTTCCTTGATTCGTTAGTCTTGGAAGTGCAAATTCAAGTTTGGGAGAAGTAATCACAAAGAACCTCGTTGTCTGCTATGGAAATGAATGAAACCAAAGTCGGAGACATCTTCTTCTTGGAGAAAACTAGGACAACAGGATTATTTGATTGATTCGTGAATTAGGTTACTGATATAAACGAAGAACACGCCACGTATGAGAATTCCTCATTAATGATCGTTTCATGTACGATGTCGTGAGTAAAATTTGAATAAAAAACGGTCATAAGTACTAAATGTGTACAAAAACATTAAGAATTAAATGTGTATAAACTAAAAACTATATTACCATATTAAGTCGTTTTCCAAGCTTAATCTGGAATAGCCGGTTATAAAGACCGAACATGAACAAAAAAACAAATTAAATTGTCAAATGTAGACAAAAGAAACTCAATCACCAAATATATACAAATCATTGAAATTGCTAAACAATCCATATTTATACTAACAAATGACTCTTGTCACTATGAAGAAATGACAGATAAATGATTATTCCAACAAATGAACTTAAGGAAAGAATGATTAGGAACATCAAGCAATATAAATCGATAACAAAACAAGAAATACATCAGGAGTATTTTAGAATAAAAAAAAAAAAAAAATAGTATCAAGTCTTTCTATCTCTTTATGAACCTTATTAAAGTCCACAAAAATTAAAATCGGGCAAACTATGGACTTCAGTGAAAGTGGTCATCGGTGAATAATTGTTATAAGAACAAACAAATGACTCTTGTTTTGTTATCGATTTATATTGCTTGATGTTCCTAATCTTTCTTTCTGTCTCTTCATGAACATCGTAAAAAATTAAAATTGGCCTAACTATAGACTCCATTAAAAATGTTTCGTATATTAATGGACAAAACATTCATTGATTACCTTTATATACATACACCAATTCTATTAATTATCCATTTTAACACAACATATCAAATCCACTACCTCCATTGCTCTATCAACTTTACTTATGATTGGATCTAAAAATACATAGTATCTAACTTATTGGATGCAAAAGAGAACGAACAACCAACCCCACGTTCATGAAACAGACTTACCCAATTTACGACTTTCATTTTCTTATCAATTATTATTATAAATTTACATGAAACCAGAGATTTTCAAAAAACGCATATTAGTTTCAAATCAATTTTGGAATATTGCAATGTTCATTATTAACTTTTAGCAAAGTACACAAGGTTCTTTATGAGAGCTGAAACTAAATAATTTTTACCTATAACAACAAATAACCTAAAAGTTGTAAGCAAGCATTTTATAAGTTTTAGGTTACACATTGCTAATATCAGCAAAGAAATGTAAACACATTACTACATGTAAAAAAAATGTAGCTACACTGTTATTATAGGTAAAAAAAATACACTGCCTATATTGGTAGCAAAAGTGAAGTTTGTTGCTAAATTCACAAAATTGGTGCATACAGATGGAACCATGTCAATGAATTAACAGTAGTAGAACTTACATGATCCATTAAGTCATTCATTAAGTCAAACAAAATTCAAGTCCAAATCTATTAAATGAGATATAAAAGAAGACATGATAACCTAAAGAAAACTTGATCATAAACCAACATTGTTTAAACAGTAGCACCACTCTTTCCTTTCTTTTTCTGAAGCTTCTTCATGTAGAACTCAAGTTCTTTTCCCTCCAATATGTACCTAACAAACACATCACAAAACCACACATTAAGATGGCTTCAGCACAAAAGGGTAAAATAGTAAAATTGTAATTCAAAATTTATACCCATCAGCACGACCGCACTGGCCA